GAGCACACAACAGCTAGCAAAGAACTACAACGAGAAAACACGAAAAAATTGGAATAAGATGTGGTGAAATTAAAAACAGAGCAAGAAATAGAATTAAATGGAAGGAACTACTACAGTACACAGTTTATCCAGAGAATAAATAAGAAAGAACTCATCAGCGCCCAATACTCCACAAGGAGGGATGGAACTAGTGAGAGAGATTCATTAAAATGAACATAACAGAAATCACCACACAGAATTCTTAAAATCGACATTTAGGTCCATGTCTACCAAAGAGGACGAATCTAAAAGAACGCAAAGACTACTCTTACGAACCATACACAACAAACTAGTATTAGACATAAATGACATGCAATTGAACTTTCGTAACGCAGTAGGCACAAGAGAAGCACTTTTTACTGTTAACATTCTTATTTAAAGATGCTTAGACATTAATCAAGACCTTTCCGTCTGCTTCGTAGATCACAACAAAGACTTCGATAGAATTAAACAAGATAAACCAACGGAAATTCTCAGAAATAAAATCTGAACGAACGACATATAATATTAGTTTTAAACATCTACTACAATGAGCGAGTAGCAGTAGAATTATCCGTATAAGTTGAAATTATGAGAGGAATCAGACAATACTATATGTTGTCACTTCTATTATTAAACGCTTAGTTCTGAGGAAATCCTTCGAAGAGTTATTAAATTAAACACAGGAGGGATAAAAACAAATGGATTTTTATAACAATATTAGATGCTTAGATACCGTAACAATAACTAATAATTTAGAAATTCTAGAAACTTTTCAGGATAATTAACTGGGTTTTGGTCGTTTTTTATTGCTAACTCTAAATGTCGTTTATTAAATGTCTGAAATTCCTGTTTTCTCAGTTTTGTTATCACTTAAAAGTAAATGTACTTTTTTACCATTTTAGATATTAGTTACACTTTATATATTGTTGATAGCTTCTTTTTAATTCCGTATTTTCTTTTTTGAAAATAAGTTGTGGCAGTTTCTGGTCTAGGTGATTTTTAACGAGAGTGTCGTATCTTATCTAATCTGAAAAATATATTGTTGATTAATCCCAGTAAGAATATTCCCAGCTCGGTGTACAGAAAAACAAAAAGGCTAACGCAGCGGTTTAAAATTATAAATGAATCTGCAGCTTAGACTCGATTATGCTGGTGTGTGATCGGCCTATGGTAGAAGTAGAGGCAAGAAGAAGTACGGCAAGAGATAAGGGCTTGCGGCTCAGTGATACTCCTCCATAGATCACTATCGGAAGGGAGTGCCGCCTAAATACCGGTGTATATATATATATTTCTTATTCCAATGTAGACTGAACCATCATCATCATTAGCCATTTTAAGTCATGGCGTCCGTAACACCAGTTTTTCTCCCAACTATTGCTACAGGGAATACAGTAAATATCTGAAATTGACAACAATCGTATTGTCTCTGGTCGATTTTTGTGTGCGTGTGTATGAAAGTGAAAATCTTCTTAAGATCGTACCTGATGAACTGTAACTGGTGTGAGTTGTACCCACTTCTGTCTGCCTGTGTCTGTCTACAAACTAAAACTAGTCTCAGCCTACGTGCGTGGCACGGCTTTCGAGATCGTTGTTTTGCCAGCGCAGCCATACTTTCACTTCTTTTTTCTTCTTTTCTCTCTGTTACTTATGTTACCCCTGTTTTCTCTATATTCTTAATTTATTTCATCTTTTAACGATTTTTGTCACAGCCTCTAGTACCTACTTCTTTAAACACATTTTTCCCCTTTCCACTACGGTCATACAGTTGTATACAAAAGATACCTAGCATTGCATATAGCTCCATTTTTTTTCACTAAACTTACTACATTCGAATACACAGTGTTCTGCTGTATTCCGCAGTCCACACAACTACCATATATTTCCTTGCTTTTAACGACCCGCATCCCGTAAAAATTGCGTGAATAAGTTTTTATGTTTGCACTCCACCCACTCCTTCATGACCGGGATCTGAGTCCTTATCCATTCAGCCCTTTACCTGTTTAATTACTCTTCTAGCTCTTTAGTGACGGTTTCCCTTTTTTCTTCTATCTTTTCTTAATTACTCTTGCCATATGTTTTGGATCTCTCTTTGCCCTGCAGGTTTATTGGTGGTACCCTGGATATAATTTGTAGGGCTACCGTCGATGTCGTTCTATAAGCTCATACCATCCTCAATAGGGTTTGTCTTTGATCCTTCTTTAATATTTGTTTGTACTTTTGTTTATTCGTTAATTAATGCCACGCTGGTGCCGCACATAGAATTGTGGAATGTACCACTTTTATCAGAATCCTCTTTCCGGTACCTCGACCTCTTATTTTTGGCATCATTATTGCAACGCTATTGCACTTTGTTGCCTTGTTTGCATCATATTGACGTCATCGTCAAATATCAGCTTATTGCCCAAGATTACTCCTAATTATTTAACCTTTTTGACCAACATTATTCTTTCTCCTGTATCTAGTCCTTTTACTATCAGAGTTTACGTTTTGTGCGTGGCGAGTATCAACTCTTGGTCTTTCAACCATGTGTTCAGTACAGCATTAGTTGTGTTCATTATGAGCTCGCTTTTATTGTGCTCTACTGAAACGACCAGGTCTTAGACTTTTTTGTATTATCTTCGTTGGCTTAAAGATGGACTTAGCGTCATGTTTTGCTAAGGGTTTCTTAATTTAATCTGTAACGTTTTTAATATTGGTAGAAAGCTTTATGTGTGAATTCGCATTGTTGTTCGAGATTGCACTTGATTCTTGAACGAAAAAATTGTTTGATGTATTTTGGAGTATACCAGTTCTCTCAAAAAACTTTTCTTAATGTTTAAATTGTCCCCCTAAATAAAACGTATTGGAGTAACATAAGCCGTTAAGGTTTTTTATGACTCATTTCTCTTCATTAGAATATTTATTCAAAATGTTGTTTAAATAACTGTCGATAGGCAGTTATAAGTACACGTTACATCCACGTTTTTGTTCCTTTTTAGTTCTAATAAAATATCCTATTTAAAAATATTGATTTTTATTTTGAATCTGACATGGTTTTTCTGAATTTACCAAATCGTTTGATTGAAACAAATTTTACAAACAAAGTAATAAGGTGGTAATAGTAAGTGCGTTGGGTACGTTATATGAGCCCTAAAAACTAAATTTTCGGACAAACAAAAATTTATTGAAAACGTTTATCTTCACAACTTTGCTTATTAAACCAAGGAACGAGATCAACAATACATTAAACTCTATCATTAATAACAAAAAAATAAAATGGTTCGGTTTTTATAAACTTTGAGTTGCAACATTGGCGGCAAAATAAACGAAAGAGTTGCATAACATCGTGACAACTAAATGTTCAGACAATTCAAGAAATTAAAATTTTAATATGGGGTTACAGCATCACGCGCCTGTACCATCCTATCTGGCATTGTTCGAACTAAGGATTCACATAAGTCAGAGTCAAAACTATCCCATAATTCACCTAATTTAGTCTTCAAATCAGCGATGGTGCTCTGGAGATCATTACGCAATCTCTGTTTCATCTGATGCCACAATGTCTCAATAACATTAAAATTTGGATAGTTCGAAAGCCATAAGAGGACTTTAATATTATTGTCTCCAAACCATTTTTAGGTATTCTATTCGTATGGCATGCAGTACCGTCCTATTGGAATATAAAATTCAAGTCCTGGTAGAGATCGTGAGCACTTGTTATAAGACTAGTTTTTCAAAATTTCTTGATACTTTCTTCCAATAATTGTGCCTTTCACCACCTCATATCTTACTAGCCCAGTACAGTCACCAACGGTCCATGAAAACTTTAAGTAACCGCTTCAATTGAGCAACATCGGAGACTTCATACACAGTTGATGACTGGTCCAGAGTCACCACATCTAGTGACGAATCGAAAATTGATGTTTGCGTGAGAGACTTTTAAATCGAGTTATTAGAAGTATCAATAGAACTGTTAAGTTTACCAAAATAATTCTAATAAATGATGAAAGTAGGGTGGGTGCGAGTCATCAGCTGGTCTAGGAAGATATGAAGTGGTGGAAGGCACTAACGCAGCAATTAAAAGTATAATAAATTTTGAAAAATTACCGCGCTGACGATCTCTACCCTGACTTTAATTTTATATTTCAGCAGCACGGTACTGCATGCCATACAGATAAAACAACTAAAGAATGGTTTGGAGACAAAAACACTAAAGTGCTCTTACAGACCTTAATTTTATTGAGACATTGTGGCATGAGATGAAACAGAAATTGCGTAATGATCCCTTAGATTAATTAATCTAAGAATGATCCCCAGATAACCGTCGTCTATTTGAAGAGTAAATTAGGTGAATTGTGGGAGAGTTTCGACCCTGACTTGTGTAAAACTTTAGTACGAACACTGCCAGACAGAATTAAAGCGGTTGTAAAGGCGCGTGGCGATGTAACTCCATATTAAAGTAGTTATTTCTTGAATTGTCCGAACATTTAGTTGTGACGATGTTAAACCACATTTTCGTTTATTTTGCCGCCAACGCTGCAATTCAAGGTTTATAGACCAAAACATTTCATTATTTTGTTATTAATGATAGAGTTTAATGTATTTTTGATCTCGTTCTTTGGTTTAATAAGCAAAATTGTGAAGATAAACGTTTTTAATAAATTTTCGTTTGTCTGAACATTAAGTTGCTAGCGCAACTTATAAACCCCGAATATATTGTACCATTATAAAAAATTCTGTTATAGGTATTTAAAAATTAGTCATTTTTGTTTTTTCTCAACTTTAGTAGTTGTGATATCGCAAGAACTGAAAATTTCTGTGAAAAAGGAATATCATATTCGTACTCAACACTGCATTTGTTCCGAAATTTTTAGTATAGTTTAAGCATAGTTAATGTGGCAGAGTCGTCCATCTCTAGCTAATATATAAAAAACAGGTAAAACAATAATTTTAAGGAACATACAATAATTTTAAATATAGATTTTAAATAGTCGTTCAACCTCATACAAAACTTAGCAAAAATGCCAGGTAAAACTACTCAAACCTCAAGCTCCCGAAAATTAGGTAAAATTTGTACAGCTTGTAATCGTGAGGAGCCTGATACATGTGGACCTACTAAACAATTTATTACGAAAAGAAAATCAGCAGCATCTAGTAAACCCACAAAACCAACTGCTTCGAAGAAAACATCGACTAAAAAACCTGTATCTCCAAAGAAAACTAGCAAAAAGTCTGCATCCGTAGCTAAAACGGTTCCTAAACTAAAAAAGACTGTTGCAAGAAAGAAAACTCCTTGTGACATGGGAAAATGTGGGGACTACAGTTCTGATTGCTCTTCACATTCCTCAGATTGCAGCTGCAGTAGTTGCTGTTCTTCAGATGGGAGCACCAGTGAATATGAATGCTACAACGGTAAATGCAAAAAGTGTTAATAACCTATTGATTTGTTAGATGTATTTAGTTAATATTTTGTGATTAGTTCAATTTATTCCATGTATTTGATTCAATTTTTTGTATGAAATTCATCAAACTATTGTTTTAGTGTTGACATTTATTATTTTTTATTGAGTTGGTATTGACAATTAGAACAAAGATCATTAAAAAACAGTTAATACAAATTAATCTTTTGGAACTGGCTAGGTCGTTTAGAAATAATTTAACAACTTGTATGTGTATCTGTTTTATAGCTATACTTATTTTATAAGTTTTTTATTGGATTGTTTTATGTACTTTTATATGTTGATGAATTTTAGCTATTTGTGACATTATTAATTTAAAAATATATTTGATACTAAAATGTTTTTTATTATTATTTAAGCAAGTCTTATTCGTGCAAGATAAGATACTAAACCATTGTAAGAACTAAGGTACAAACGTTCAGGTTTTCTAATCTGTAAATTGGGAACGTGTCAGTATTATGTTCTGACTTTGTACTACCTTTAATTCAAGATGGGATAATTTTTGTGAAGTTTCTGTATGTCCAATATACAGGGTGTTTCACGGTGAGCTTACACTATCTATATATCGGAAACTACTTAAACGATATTTATGAAAATTGGTTTATGGGGATTAAAAGTTATGACGAAGTTAAAGAAACATCATATTTTGACTTGCCGCTTCCGGTTATACCGGAAGTGAGTGGCAAATTTGTTATTTTTAATAGAATACCATATATATTATTGCAGTTTTTGATTCTGAGTAAGATTTTAAATAAAATTTACAATGGGTCATGAGGAGGTACTATGGGTCAAAACTTCATATTTTTTGAGTTATTCATCTTTTTTTAAAAATGTTGACAAATAGGCAAAATGTCGACAAACTTTTCAAAGTTAATATCTAATCCATTTATGATTCTAATGCCTTGAAATCCTTTGCATACAAAGAGTAGGTACCTAAAGTTCTTCCAGGAATTTACATCGAAATCGAATTTCTAAATACAGGGTGTTCACAAACGACATTTCTGTAAACTTCAAACTACAGTTAGTCAATAATTTTATACGAAATACAATGTATTGTACTATTTTAATGAAAAAAGAAGTCAAGTGTTTTTTAAATAGTATTAGGGTTCCCTATTCCTAAAGAGAACCAAATAGATACCAAGAAACTTGAAATAAAATAAATCAGAATATCCAAGAAATAAAACAACAAAATAAGAACACTACAGATATTGAAACAAAATGAAAGAATATAAAGAACACAATAGAGACTGAGGGACAGCAAATATTAACATTTACAAAAGCTGCCAAACAAGAATGGATGACACAAGAAATTCTCGAAAAGATGGACAAAAGAAGAATATATAAAAACAAAGATAAAATTAAATATCAAGAAATTAATAAACAAATAAATCAGAAAATAAAACAAGCTAAGGAAACATGGATGTCCATTAAATGTCAAGAAATTGAGGAATGTGAGGCAAGGTATGACACTTTCATCAACCATAAGAAGGTTAAAGAAATGATTTTAGGAATACGTAACAAACCAATTGGGATATTAACAAATGCAGATGGTACCACTATAACTGAAACGCAAGGCAAATAACATAGTTGGAAAGAATACATTGAACACTTATTTTATGACCAAAAAGTAGAATAATTAGAAGTTGACGGAGAAACCACGGGACCAGAAATAATGAAAGAGAAAGCTATGTATGCCATAAAACACACAAAAGGTAGAAAATCTTCAGGACTCGATGAAATACCAATTGAATTATTGAAGATAATTGATGAAGGTAATATTGATGTCTTGGTAGACCTTTTTAACTCCATACACAAGACGGGACACATACTCAAAGAATGGCTTCTCTCAACTTTTGTAACGATTCTAAAAATCACAAATGGTAAAGATTGCAATGACTATCGGACAATTGCATTAATGAGCCACACGTTGAAAACCTTCCTTAAAATCATACATAAGAGAATCCACATGAAATTAGAACAAGAAATAAGTGATTCACAGATGGGTTTTAGAAATGGTCTGGGAACTAGAGAAGCGTTATTCGGAGTCAATGTTTAGACACAACGATGTTTGGATATGAATCAGGACATATATGATTGCTTCATAGATTTTAAAAAAGCTTTTGACAGAGTTTAACATGAAAAGCTTTTAAGTATTCTTAAGACCAAAAACATAGATAGTAGAGATCTACAAATTATACGAATCTGAATCAAAATCAGAAAGCAAGAATAAGAGTCGAAGGAGAACTGACAGAGGAAGTAAGTATACTTAGAGGAGTTTGACAAGGGTGCATACTTTCGTCACTCTTATTCAATGTCTACAGTGAAGTGATATTTCAAGAAGTTTTATTGGATATTGTGGAAGGTATTTTGGTCAACGGAAATAGCATTAATAATTTTAGATATGCGAACCTGATCATCAATAATACAACGATCGAAAGAGTAACATTATATAAATATTTAGGAACGTGGCTAACCAAAGATGGAGATCAAACAAAAGGAATCAGATCTAGAATAAAAATGGCAAGAAACACGTTCATAAAATTGAAGAACTTACTTTGCAACCGTAACCTTAATCTAGAGATCCGCACAAGAATGCTACGTTGTTAGGTTTTTTCTACTTTACTATACGGCATGGAAGCGTGGACGATAAAACAGTCTGAAATCAAAAAATTAAACTCCTTTGAGATGTGGGGCTACAGGAGACTCCACAGAATATCGTGGACTGAAAAAGTAACTAATATAGAGGTGTTACAAAGAAAGAAGAAAGAATGTGAAGTCATAAAAACTGTTAAAATTAGAAAGATTCAATATCTGAGTCATATAATGAGGGGCGAGAAGTACGTATTACTTAGCTTAATTATGAAAGTGAAGATACAAGGGAAGAGAAATCCAGAACGACGCAAAATATCCTGGCTAAGAAATTTGAGAGAGTGGTTCGGTTGCAGCTCATTAGAATTACAGTAAAACCTCCCTTAACCGAAACCATTTTAACCGAAACGGCTGAAAGTTCCAATAATTTCGTTCAAAATCAAAGAAATCCAAGAGCTCTCTATAAGATATTTGAGAAAAAGCACTTGAATTCGTGTAAAATCCTTTTTAAAATAAAAAACTTTCTCATCAAAGGATTGTTGCTTGTTGACAATGCGCCAACTCACCCTCACAATCTACACAATAGTGATAATTGTCAGACGTTTGCCACCCAATGTCACGAGCTTAATTCAGCTGCTAGACCAGGGAGTAATAGAGACATTTGAGAGACATTATAGAGGAGCATTCTTAAGACATCTGTTATTACAGGAGATGAATGAATCCAAAAATGTTCCCGAAATCCTCAAATATTTAACAATGAAACATGTTCATCGGTGTGCTGAGTTGTGGCTAAGATCAAATCTTCTACTTTGGAAAAATGCTGGAACTAACTTTTTGATAGGATTTTGATTGACGATCCTGAAGAAGAAAATGGTAAAGAAACGACAGAAGAAATTAAACCTTTAATAAAAAAGTTGCCGGGATGTAACGAAATTAACTAAGAAGAGATGTGTGAGTGGTTAGCAGCCAATGACTCAGAAAGTGAATTCATCGACCAGGACATCATTGATATGATTTTTCATCCAGACAACCTGAGCGTATCAGACGACGAAGATGACGACCTAACAGACAACAGACAGCATGAGACCGTCGACGAGATTTTCAATGCCCTTAAGGATAAAAATTTTATACAGTACCCCTAATTAGTTAGGGACACGACTAGGTTCTTAATTTTTGTTGTCATTGTATAAAGTTTTGTCCTTTTCAGATTGCTTTACGTTTCGTCGAATGATGGAATGAGGCAAACTCATGACGTTCTGCAAATGAACGATGGAGATATATAGCTGCAAAACATCGTTGTCAAACGATAACGCAAAAGAAAATAGAAGATTTCTTTAAAAAAGCATGTTAAACTTGTTCATTTTCCTTAATTTTATTACTTTATTCTGTATTTACTTATTAGAAATCATTACGAAATCACCTGATAGAATTTTTTAATACCAATAGTTTAACCAATAATACTATAAAAAAACAATGTTATTTTTAACCGAAATTCTTGTTATCCGAAACGGCCTCCCCCCGCAATTATTTCGGCTAATGGAGGTTTTACTGTATTCAGAAGCACGGCTAATAAAATTAAAATAGCGATGATGATTTCCAACCTCTAATAGGAGAAGGAACCTGAATAAGATTCATTGTAGTTTAATAATAAAGGTAAGATATTTGTTGTTTTATTTTATCAGACAGTATATGAAGATTGCGTAAATTTACTTTAAATATATTATATGTTTTAGATGAAAAATATATATAGATATTTTTCACCTAAAACAAATAGTTTATATACTCAGAGAGCCCGTCGACAAAATTTTATGATAGATACCCTCTCCAAACTTTGAGTATCGCTTCTTGACCGAGTCTGACACGGTTTTCTTTTGCGACTTTTCTTGATTCAGGGGCGTTTTTCTAATTTTTAAGAAACAATTAGCCCGTCCAGCAGAAAAATCAGAAATTTTGTCAGACAATACGAAAAGTTGTCTTTAATGAAGTATCATGACAAATAAGATTTTTTTTTGGTGTGTTTTGGCTTGGACAATTGTCATTCAGCCAGTCTCAATCAAGATTAGTTTATTAATGTAGTGTGTGTGTTTGTGTGTGTAGAGTAATTGTCTTGATACTTAGCAAAGTCGACGTCATTGTATTTGCTAAGAGACGCTAATTGTATCCGAACGTCTGCGGTCCCTCCGGTGTGTACCGATCACACAAGGATAGAAATTATTTTCATTTATTAATTTTTTTAATAAACGAAAATTTCCACCCAGGTGGGATGACAAATAAGATGGTTATCTATGAATTTCGTCACAATAGTTTTTCCGACATGTCAGAGTCGTTAAACACGTTAAATGACCCATGTTTATCATCAGACAATTTTATTTTCGCGTTTTGCTTATAATTCTAAAGCTATTTAATTAAAAGAATATATTGTCTAACGGAACTTATTTTCCGATTGTCATATCTGACGGGTGAAATTTTTGGATAAAACTAGAGGCAAAACGCCACAGAACCAAAAAAATTAGCAGAGGGAAACTATGTCAGACTCGGCCTAATGAAGCGGTACTCAAAGTTTGGAGAGAATATCTTTTATAAACTTT